GGAGCATATTGCGAGCCTATGCCCTGGGGGTAGGGAAGAGGAACCCAAATGTGCCAACTGTGGCAAGAACCACACGGCAAAGACCGCCGCTGCCCAGTCCTGAGGAGGACTGCTAGGAGGCAGGGGATTACCTTACCGGGGCTACTCCCGGAGGACCCTAAAAAGGATCCCCCAGAGTCGCCCGAAAGCTGTTACCATCCAGCAAGACGAGTGGGCTACCATCACTGGGAAGGGCAGGCAATCAGCCCCCCCCCACCCGTAACACCTAAAGAAACGGTGGAACCCACTGAGATAAGGGCAACCACCGGGGCGACTCTACAGCCTCCCGCCAACCCTGCCACAGAACGGCAACCCTCTAAGAAGAGGAGGCGGGAGAGGAGCAGGAAAAAGTCGCAGCCTCCTCAGGCTGTTACCTCTACCCCGACACCATCAGCACCAGTAGCCTCAAAGGCGCAGATTACTCGGGAGTCGACCAAAGACGTGGATAGAGTGCCAGAAAGGGCCCTACCAGAACGTAGAGCCCGCTCTACAGTTAGAGCGCGCTCTACCCACAAGCCAAGAGGGCAGGACCAGGAACATCCACACCCGAGACAATTGCCAACGCCTTTATACAGGAGAACACCCGCCACCGGCCTCGAGACAGCAGATGCGATACAACGCTTAGTTGGTATTGCCATCGAGGTCAGCGCACAAGTCCTGGCTAATATCAGAGCCGGGACTGACCCAATTACAGCAATTATGAAGGCGCTGGCAAATCTATTAGCCCGGCATTACGGAGGAGAGTAATCTGCGCCTCCTCTATTGGAACCCGGGCGGAATACAGCAGAAGCTTCATGAACTCCGCACAGTCGCCCAGCAACAGGACTTGCACATTATATTGCTGGGCGAGACAAAACTAAATCCAAAGACGCATATCAAGCTGCCTAATTACCACCTATACAGAAGGGACGAGGTCACCCCCAAGGGGCCGCCCATAGAGGGACGGCGGTTCTTGTGAGGAGGGACATCGTCCACCAAGAGCTGGAATTACCACCTTTCCAGACTATGTGCTCTATCGGCATAAGAATGGAGGCGGCGGGCGATGAACTAAGGATCTACGCAGCATACCGCCCGCCAGGGACTCCATTCTGCTCCTCAGACATCCGGACAGTGATGGAAGGCGAAACACCCACCATAATCGCCGGGGACCTAAACGCCAAACACCCGGCGTGGGGGTCCAGAGTGATCACCCCGCCGGGTCTTGCACTATACGAAGACTCAGAGAGAAACAACTACGACGTTTTAGGTCCCGAAGAACCAACCAACGTTCCAACAGATCCGAAGCAACATCCGGATGTATTAGACATCGTGCTCTCTAGGAACGTCAACTACCCGGTAGTGGTAGAGGTGCTATACGACCTGAGCTCACAGCACCTCCCGATTCTGATAACCCTTGGCACTAAGGCGGTGACTACGCCGCCCAGAGCTTTTAAGACACGCATTGACTGGAGGCGCTACGCACAACACCTGCGGGCGAGACCTCCAGCAGACCAACTTATAAACACAGCGGACGACGTAGAGGCCGCTGCAACCAGAATCACCAAAAACATCCAGGAGGCCCTCCACGCGGTCTCTACGATCGTCCCGATCACAGAAAGGCGTGACGATCTGCCGCAGGAAATATGCGTCAAGATAAAACGTAAAAGAGCACTTAGGAGGCTCTGGGCGCGTACTCGCTGCCCAAGACTAAAAGCACAACTTAACATCTTATCGGAGGAGCTGTCGGTGGCAGTCCGGGCATACAGAGGAGAGGCCTGGGAGCGGCGCATATGGAAGGCGGAAGAACAAAATGCGTCGCTCTATAAACTGAACCGACAGCTAACCAAAACCAGACCTCCCGTTTGCCCGCTTACCAACAGTGCGGACGAACGCTGCTATGATGCCAAGGGCAGAGCGGATATCCTAGGAGAGCACTTCGAGGAGCAATTTATGCCGAACCCTGCAAGTGCGGAGTACATGGAGCTTCATGCCCTAAAGGAGAGTCGCGTACAGGAGTTTCTGTCGTCGCCCGCGCCGCCTCTTGCAGGAGAGTGGTTCATCTCCCCGCTGAACTGCGGAGGACAGTAACCCGCCTGCAACCGAGGAAAGCGCCCGGGCACGATGGGATTACCAACGCTGCACTCCGACAGCTGCCCTATAAAGTCCTAGTAGAGATTGGTCGACTCTACAATGGGATATTGCGGACATCCCACTTCCCGGAGGAATGGAAAAAAGGCAAAATTATCGTCTTGCCGAAACCCGGGAAGGACAGGCGTAGAGCTGCCAGCTAAAGGCCGATTACGCTATTACCGCACATAGCTAAACTGTTTGAAAGATTGCTGCTATGACGTCTCCGTCCGTGCATCCAACTTCGGGCGGAGCAGCACGGATTCAGGAGGGGTCACTCTACAGTCACACAGCTGACTAGAGTGCTGCACCTGCTTGCGGCAGAGTACAATCGTGGCCGCATATCGTTGGGCGTCTTTCTCGATATCGAGAAGGCGAAGGATTACTATATAAGTTACACGAACAGACCAGTGTCCCCCCTGCTATGTTGCGGTTAATGGCGTCTTTCCTGGAAGACAGGAAGTTCTACGTCTGCGTAGAGGACGCCGAGTCCGCAACAAGAACCATCAGTGCCGGCGTCCCACAGGGCAGTTGTCTGTCTCCAGTCCTGTACGTGGCTTACACGAATGACATCCCAACATTGGCAGGCAGGCTGCAAGAATGGGAGGACGACGTTGAGCTGGCGCTATATGCGGACGATAGCGCCTATTTCACCTCGTCCCGAAGAGCCCATATAGCCACTGCCAAAATGCAGCGTCTGCTGGACCTGTTGCCATCATGGCTGAACGAGTGGAGAATGGTCGTCAACATTGGTAAGACGACCGCTCTGCTCACTCGCCGCCTCAGAAACCTACCACCACCACTAACTCTCGACGGCCAGAAGATCGCGTACGAGAAGACCGTGACATACCTCGGGTGCTGCGCATGACTGCGCACGTCGACTTCGTCGTCCGCAAAGCCAGATGTGCGCGGGCGATGCTTCGTCCGGTCCTGGCATCCAAGCTGCCCAAAAACCAAGCTCCGGATATACAAGACGTATATCCGGACTATTACCACCTACGCTGCTCCGGCCTGGTACGCGCTTCTGAGCGACACCCAGAGGCGGCGACTACAGGCTCAGCAGAACCTGTCATTAAGGACGATTGTCGGAGCAGGTCGTTACGTCCGGAATGACGTTATAGCGGCCGATCTGAAAGTCGAGACCATCACCGACTTCGTGGCTCGGTTAGCGCGCGGCATGTTTGACCGTGCCGATAACGGGCCACATGAACACCTGAACGGCTTTGCGCCGTTACACACCCGGCCACCGGACGGGCGACCTCTTCCAAGAGAACTCCTCTCTATATGTGATTAGAGAGTCGAGTAACAACCCACAATGCCGCAGAAAGGCCAACTTAGACTTATAGATTACCTCTACATTACCTTCCCAGGACAGAGGTTTTTTTGCGAACCAGTGGTAAATTAAAAAAGTGACTTTCAATAAGTATTTTTATAATCTACATTGAATAAAGTTTCTATTTCTACCTCCCTTTCCGTAGTCGGTGAACTACGGAAAGTAATTTCTTATCCGGCTACATTATAAATGTAGTATAGCCATGCCAAGATAGGCAAAAAGTGACTGCCCCATAGTTATGGGGTATGAGGATATCCGGGCAATGGGGTATACCCCGAGGCCCGATACCTGCACGTACCTAGGTGCGTGTAGATGACATCAACTTAACTCACCGCGCGGCCCAGGAGTACAATAGCGTACGAAGTTTTCAACTCTGTGTCATTTATAATTCTGTCGATTGCGTGGTCATTTAATTTAATTTCAAAAAAGATGACTCGACCACAACCAACTTTAAGGAGACAGGGGAGAAGAATGATATTTAATGTTTATAATTATTTTTTAAAAAGGAAATAATATAACTGATTCTCTGAATAAAACTGCGGAAGCTACGACAAAGTCTGTATCCACAGTTAAAAGGATTGTTGAAGAAAGTAAAAGTTCAGAGTTTATAGTTACTTTTAGGACCCCTGGTAAAAGGAGGCAACGAATAAAGCCAGTCACAGGCGTAGACAATTTTGACAAGGGGGTAATAAAACGGTGTATTCACAATTTTCATTTAACTGAAAACGAATTACCGACCCTTGGTAAACTTCGTGCAAAATTACGTGCCGATATAAAATTTGAAGGTTCTGAAAAAAAGTCTTCGTCGCATTAAGGAACTTAGATTTAAATGGAAAGCCACCGAGAATAATAGGAAAGTTTTAATAGAAACATCAGCCATCAGACTGTTAAGAATAAATTATTTAGAAAAATTAAGGCAGTATCGACAACAAAACTGACCAATTGTATACACAGATGAGTCATATGTTCACACTACTCACACCACACCGAAAGGTTGGACAGATAGATCAAGTAAAGGAATAAAAAAAACCCATATCAAAAGGGCAACGTGTTGTGATAGTACATGCCGGATCGGAGACTGGTTTTGTGCCTAACGCCTTGTTAACGTTCAAGTCAGGTATGAAGTCCGGGGACTATCACGACGATATGAATTTTGAGAATTATGAGAAGTGGATTCGAACTCAATTGATACCGAATCTTCCCCCAAATTCAATTATAGTTGCAGACAATGCATCATACCATAATAAGGAATATGACTTAGCACCAAACGCGAATTCAAGGAAAGCTGATATGCAGGCTTGGCTTTCAGAAAAAGGAATAACATTTACGTCTGAAATGTTGAAGCCTCAATTATACCTATTAATAAAAATAACAAAGATCGCTTCAAAACATTTAGTATAGACAAGATTTTTAAAGAACATGGTCATGACGTAGTTCGCCTGCCTCCCTACCACCCAGATCTGAACCCTATAGAAATGGCATGGGCAGCTATAAAGGGTTATGTAAGTAGCAAAAATGTACGATGGAATGTCCCCGTGTTATAGAGTTAGTGAACGAAAAGATAAATGCATTGGGACCATGTGATTGGAAAAAGCTATGCGACAAAGTTAAGACAATCGAAGAAGCTTATGTCAAAAGCGACCATGTCATCGATAAAATGACGGAAGAGGTTATAATACGGGTTGGAGATTCTGACAGCAGTGATTCTGAATTGGATTCCTCAACTGACGTAGAAGATGAAATCGCAACTCCTGGCCCAAGTTCTGGTATACCACTAGGAAATTATATAGAAGGTGTCATGCCAATGAGTGAAAGTGATTGAACATGTAAGTAGATAAACAGATTAACTTATTGATGTATTAAATTTTTATTAGTATTCCTTTAACTGTTCTATTTAATAATACCTAACAATCACAAATAAATCATGTAATAAGAAACACAATTATTTGAAAGAAAATCGAAATTATTTTTATGAAACTTCATTTTTTGTTTAATTAAATTACTTCACTTCATTTTCACACTTATTAAAATATATTTAAATAGGACGAATTCACGGTTTTTCCTTTAAGATTTTCGAATTTTTCAGGCAACCCTGGAGCATGTGTCTAACATTTTTGTCCATAATTGTACCTGCGCAAATGACCGCCATTTTAGTTCAACTTACGTGCCGCTATCTGTACCAGGATATTACGGCCTAAAGTTACCCTGACAAGGTCGTTGAACTCGGGACCATCAAGAGTCCAACTCGACGAGTAACGGAAGGTCGAGCCCAAAATGGCCTGTGGATAAATAAATTAGACAGGTTAGGTACACAAACATAAGACTTACCTATTTCCAGAAGTGGGGTTAACCACAGGAATAGTCAGGTGAAAGTGAGGTGAATGTGAGTTGTGTTCAGTAAAGTGTTCAAAGTATAACCTGACACCCCTGCTGGTGCTGGACAGCAGATCCCAAGGCTGGCCTCTCTCCAATTGTGGGATCCATCCAAGGGGGGCTCAACAATGGAACACTTCCGCTTCTACTTTCACTATACTAGTTTATCACCCTATTATTCATTTAATCAACTTCAAGTTAAACCAAATCAACGTTAAATCGACGTTAAACAGCGACACGCGTCACAACTCAAAGATGGCTGGTCTCAAAACCCTGAAATCAAAACTTTGTTTACCAACAAAATTTTTAACTAAGTGGAATACGATTACATTTCTGTTAAGAATCGTATTTCAAGTTTTTTTCGTGTTTACGCTACCTTTTTTCTTCCAAGCCAAGCGTCGCGATTCCCGACGAATGGCTTTGCAAGTTACGTGCTGTTATGTCCAACCCTAGTTAGATAAAAGCGCTGACTCGATTATTATATTTATTATAAAAGCCTAGAGTTTGAGGTAATCGAGGCAGTGCAGTTCCAACCCATATTAAGTGCATATCGCACACGCCGTTCGCGGCTTTTGTACATTTCTTGTATTAATTTAATATTGGGGAAATAAACCAAAAGAACTTCTGGGATTGGGTGTAAAAGTTTTTTTTAAAAACACCTTCAGAGCGGCCCTCCTAACAAATTTGGTGTCAGAAGTGGGATGTCGCAAGGTCTACCGGTACATCAGTAGCGTGGCATCCGAATCCTGGGAAACTCTGAAGTGAAAGATCGACAATAAGTCTCCACCCCACGAGTGTGAGCCTGCATCATCAAAGCACCAACGAGGTCTCAGCCCCACGAGCTTGGGACACCATCGTCAACCCGAAGTTCATCAAGGTGTTAGTCTACACCACCAGCGTGTGAGCCTGCCCTGAGCTGCTGCACTCCCATCGCACAACTACGTGGACGCCGCCGTCAAACGACTCCCTGGGTCTCACGGCAACGCGACTCCGCTGCACGTCATCGCAACACGACACCGGCATAGCAACCAATGTACACCGTAGTGATCGTGATATTGTAAGTTAGGTAACTTTAATTTAGCTATAATTTTATACTATTCCTCTTCTATTTCCTTACATTCTTTTGTCATTTGTCGTGTACAATAATATTCTCATTTTACCAATTTTGTATTTACTAACTCCTAAATCTTTCTAATTCCATATGCATAAGGTTAAAACTTTAAAGGACAAACCCGAAGAAATAGAAATGTCCGACAAAATTCCCTTATCCGTCCTTGTAAAATTCATCAAACCTTACAATGGTGATAGAGAATCACTTCCGGCTTTTCTCACAAATTGTGATAACGCCATAACACTCGCGAACTCGGAACAGCAAGCAGTTTTATATCGTTATATCATATCCCAATTAGAAGGAAAAGCTCAAATCGCGTGCTCCCTAAAAACGTTTAATAGTTGGGATGAATTAAAACTATTTCTAAAAACTACCTTTGGCGAGAAGAAACACTCCACACACCTTTTAATTGAACTCCAAAATTGTAGGCAAGGAAATTCGGAAACAGTAATGCAATATTCACTTAGAATCGAATCTTGTTTAACGCGATTACAATCCGACATACATTACAGTTGCGAGAATAAGTCCGAGCTAGTAGGAAGAATTGCCGCTATGGAGGATTTAGCCCTCAACACATTTATATTAGGTCTAAATTCTAATTACGGATATATTGTTAGATGTCGAAACCCGAAGAATTTAAGCGAGGCAATTACGCATGCCATAGAAGAAGAAAAACTATTCATTCTGAGCAAAATATCTTCCAAATCTTATAAAAAGTGTTCTATATGTCAAAAATTTGGTCATGATTCTTCTAACTGCTATAATCATAAGAAAAAACAATCTCGTCGAGCTTATTACGTTAATCCACAAAATAATAACCCTCATTCTAATTTTCATAATATTTCAAACAAAAATCCTATTAAAATATGCAGTTATTGTAAAAGTCCGGGACATATGATAAACGAATGTCGAAAGCGACAATATAACAATAGCCTTCGTCATAATATGCAACCAGACACTCGCACGACGAATACGTTACCAAGTCCCAGTGCGCATGCACCTAATAGAAATAATATGCATTTATGTGACGCACAACCTTCTACCTCTAATGCCGATATTAGTAATGAAGATTTAAACTAAATCTGATTTCGGAAAAGTGCCTACCGAAATCGAAAGCATTTAAAGGCACAAATAATTATTGCTATTCTACTAATTCTTATACTAAATCTTATACTAAGCCTATATACAATGATAACGAATTTAGTTATAATTATCGTACAAAATATTCTTATAATACATCTCAGCGACGTCAAATGCCGCCGAGTCCTACTAAATCATGTAATTTAAAAAAATACTATTTCTTATTCTAATTCTACACCTCGGGAACAACATCCGAGTCCATCTTTTACACAAAGTCAAAGTCATAATACCAATTATTTATTACCTCGGGAAAATCATCCCAGGACACCTCTGAATCAACATCAGAGTCTTAGAAATAATTTTAATGCTAATTCTTTTACTAATTCTTATACTAATTCTTGTACTAATTCTTATACTAATTCTGTCTCTCATAATGATACTATCTCTTATCCAAAATATACATCTCAAAAAGGAATTTCGAGTCATGCTAATCCTACTGATAATTCAATTAATAATAAAGGAGAAATACCAACATATAACATGAACACATCGAATAAGAAAACATCACTACCTCATGTTTATTTTAGGTCGAATTTTTCGGTTCAACCCCTACGATTGTTACTCGACACAGGTGCAAGTGTCTCTATTATAAAAAAATCGAGTTTAAATGGAAACTTTAAGCTTTCTGATGAAATCGTAAAACTCAAGGGTATAAGCAGCACTCAATCTTGCAACGAAACATTAGGAACATTACTGTTAGATTTTATTTTAGATAATTTTTCCATAAAATATAAATTCCATGTCACATCCGACGATATTAATATCGATTATGACGGAATATTAGGAAGCGACTTTCTCAATTATTTTAAAGTAAACATTGATTATCATACTTATTCACTTTGTTTCAAAAATTCTATATCTGTGCCTATCCACTTTTCGGAACCTACATACATTATACCAGCGCGTAGCGAAACTGTTATCGAATGCTCCGTGTCAAATAACCCGTCCGAGTTGCGTCACCTTAAGGATGCACTCATACTAGATCAAACCGTTTGTAATGGTGTTTATTTAGCGAACTGCCTAGTAACTTTAAAAGCGAATAAAAGAGTTAATGTTTCGGTTTTAAACACAACTGAATCGCAAATTAAAATAAAAAATTTCAAAGTTACTTAACACCAATTGACTTTAAAGAATATTCCAAATCTTTTGAATCTTATAATAATGTAAATACTATTTCTACAACTTATTCTAATCGTGTCCAACGCGTCTGCGAACAAATTCGTCATTCTCATTTAAACTCAGAGGAGAAAAAACTCTTATTAGATTGTTGCTCACAATACTCAGACATATTTTATCTTGAAGGAGATGACCTCACATGTACAAACGCGATCCAACACTCAATCAATACAGGAAACACCCCTCCTATTCATGTTAAGTCATATCGTTTTCCCGAATGTCATAAAGACGAAGTAGACGCACAATTAAAAAAAGATGTTAAAACAAAATATTATTAAGCCGTCAATATCTCCGTGGAGCGCCCCAGTGTGGGTCGTGCCTAAGAAAATGGACGCATCGGGCAAAAAGAAATGGCGCATTGTTATAGATTACAGGCGACTTAATGATGCGACCATAAACGAAGTTTATCCAATTCCTTTAATTAGCGATATATTAGATCAATTAGGGCATTCCAAATATTTTTCGACACTCGATTTAGTTTCCGGCTTCCATCAAATTCCTCTCAATCCTAAGGATGCTGAAAAAACTGGTTTTACTGTAACTAACATAAATGGCATTTCCGGTCATTTTGAATTCACTCGCATGCCTTTTGGATTAAAAAGTGCTGCAAATTCGTTCCAACGTCTCATGAATACCGTCCTTTCTGGTCTCCAAGGTCTCCACTGTTTCGTCTACCTAGATGACTGCATCATTTACAGCCACGATCTTCAAAGTCATGTGGAAAAATTACGTCTTGTTTTTGATAGGTTTCGAGACTTCAATTTAAAGCTACAACCAGACAAATGCGAATTCCTTCGACACGAAGTCACTTATTTAGGTCATGTAATAACCGACAAAGGTGTCACACCTAACCCTGACAAGGTGAAGGCAGTATCCGACTACCCTATTCCCAAAAATCCCAAGGAAATTAAATCATTTCTAGGTCTAGTAGGTTACTACCGCCGATTCATAGATAACTTCTCAAAAATTACAAAACCCCTTACGTCATTGTTAAAAAAAAGATGTTAATTTTAATTGGACAC